CTTCGGAGATGCGATGTCGATGGCTAGCGGAGTTTTTGGACGGGACGTTCAAGCTACCGAGCATCAAGGAGATGGAGAAGGACATAGCGGAGTGGGATAAGTGTATAAAGCTTTACTCAGGCCCTTACTTCAACCGAGGTTGCATCGCCAGTTTGCATGTTTGTTACTGTGATCAGCTCTGCAAGGACATGGGATGGAACCCCAAGAGGAAGAAGGGCTTCCTTGCTGACTTGTTTCTGCCTTATGGCCCTGTAGACTATGCCTCCCCTTAAGCCAAATCAACCCTGGTTCGATTAGGCCGATCGTCACAATAAGACCGATAGTATTTTGCTGTTGGATGTATCAAAAGTGTACTTTATTTATATCTTTCTTTAAAAATGTTATATCACTGAGATATGTACGAGACAAGAATTTAGTCACCATTCTACTTACGTTCTTAGCCCATGTAATAATCTGAGGTGTTACGTTGACCTAGAAAGAGTCCCGTGCTGATTGATGTGTATCGATACTCCAAAACACCATAATATTTAAGTCAATACTTAGATCGATGTGATATCTAGCCAAGCGGGCGGGTAACAGTATTCCTGCTCTTTTCAACATAGCCAAGGTTGTCTGAGCCTGAGCCCTTTGGGTATTCTACATTGGGCTTATCACCCAATCCCCTTTACTAATGTCATAATTGCCTACCATTTTTATTTTTATTTTTTTTTACTCTTAATTCAGCTAATAAATATTATATATATATATATATATATATATAAATAAAGCCATAATGCCAAAAGGAAAAAGAAAAAAAAAATCCAATTAAATTATTCATATTTGACCAAGAATTTAAAAGTAAGCAAAATATGGTCAGCCTTCCAAATTTATTTGACATATTTATTGTCAATCTTTTAACTTAAGAATATTAATTAAAGTTTTAATATTCTTAAGTTAATATATATATATATATATGATTATCTTAATCTTATTTATTTTCATAATTATATTTTCTATTATTTATTTTTAAACCATTATTCAAGATATAATTTTAATATAAATTGAATCCCAAAATTGAAGTTAAATGGTGGCAAATAAATAAATAAATAAATAGTATTTGACCATATAAAAAAGGATTGGAAACCTCCAAAAACATCCAAAGTTTGATCCAACTATTTCATAACCTAATCCTAAACAAAATTAGTTGTAATCTCTAATTTTAAATTAATTAATTTAGACTTTCATTTTTGGTTTTACACTTTAAAAAATTTCAAGAGTTCAATATTATAATAATGTATGATCTCAATGATGTTCCTACTTTTTACCTACATATTTTTATAATTATTATTATTACTATTAAGATTTAATTAATGTACGGATGATATTAATCTAAGATATATGTAACTACAAAATTTAGATCGGGATTTAAAGTCTGAAACAATATATGATCCTGCATTCAAACATGAATCCTAGTACAAGATGTTTCAACCGGTTGAAAAAAAATTACAAGAGGACACTCAATATAAGATTTTTTTGACATATATTCTAGTACATTGGAGACTGTAACAAAACATTTCTTATAGGAGTGTGGAAACCTCTCCCTAATAGACGTGTTTTAAAATTGCGAAGTTTACGGTGATATATAACGAGCCAAAGCGGACAATATCGGCTAGTGGTGGGTTTGGGTTGTTACATAACCTAGGACGTAGACTCTATTCATGTCCTTTCAACGTGTTTTATCCTCGTTGTATGCTTTGTAAACAAATTTACAAACGATTACCCAATATAAGATTATTTGACATGGATCCTAGCACAGGAGATAACTTAGGATATAGTCTCGATTCATGTCCTTTCAACATGTTTTATTTTCACTCGTATATTGTCTAAAAAATTTGTTTTATAATCTTAATTGGATATCAAAATATATTAATTAATATAGAAATTAAAAAACAATTACTATATTATAAATATACAAATAAGATTTAAAAAATATCTTATAAATTTTGGTTCAACCATTTTACCTAAAGCACCCAACATTTTAAATGGAAGGAAATTAATTTTAATTTGAATAAAAACACAAAACTTTATTTATTTTTTCTTTTTTAATTTCACAACATTTTATTTTATTTTTCTCTAATTAGCCGACATAAAATTTACATTTATATCTAATAAATTAGTTAATTTTTAAATATTTTCAACACTTTTTTATTTTTATTAAAAAAAAAACCTAATATTTTCATTGCATTTATAAATTTGAAATAATTTTACCTTGCTTTTATTTTTACCTACCCACAAACTTCTTCTCTCCTACTTTTTACTCCACCAAATTTTTTACCGAAAAGTAAAAAATAAAAAAAAAAATAAAAATATAAAAGCTAATTACTCAAGAAAATTCGTTATGTACGAGAAATTCCAAAATTATTTTTCAAAATAAAATCAATATCGATTTAACTTTAATGAGAGTAAATCACAATATTCAAACGCTTTTTTGAATTTTTTTAAAGTCACTATTATTATTAAATTTTAAATTTTAAATTTTAATTCCCATTTTCTCCCAAGAAATTATTCTTTACTTGGATTCCGATTTAAATAAATAAATAAAAGATAAGGCATTTATACATTTCAATTTTCTCAAGCAATCCCACGTGGATTTAACTTTAAAAAATAAAACCCACAAATAATTTTTAAATCAAACTTAAAAAATAATAAATCACAAAACCCACGTCGTCAAGCGTGTAAAACAAACTCAAAACGACAACGTCATGACTCGCCAGGCTGATTCTTCTCCCACTCGTGTCAATGCGCGTGTACTTCAAACTCCTCATCATTTCACCTTCTGCTCTGTTCTCCTCCCACTGGCCAAACCTAACACGCGCCATGATTTTGCGTCAGCCTTGTCCGAAACTCCAAATAATAAATTTAAAAAATGAAAATAGATTTGTGAGAGCACGTGAGCCGCACGTGAACATGGAATGATAAACCTGGCCCAAACACTCGCCGTGGAAATTACAAACGCCGTGTAGAGGCAGTAATCGTCTGTAGCCGCTCATACAGTAGTTTCAAATTTTCGTTTCTTTTTGTATTATTTTGGCCAATCAGGAAGAGTCGTCTCCTTTCCTTCCACCTTTTGTTTTGGATATTGGATTTGACTTTTAAATAAATTTTATAATAATTAATAAATTATTTCTAAAATTTTCAACGCTTCATTTTCTATTATTTTAGTTATTAAAAATTAATTTAAACCTAATTTTTTAATTACAAAAATTTATAAAAGCCACTTTTGAAATTAATTTCAAATTGGGAACTATTTTGGATTTTAAAATGGGACTTTCATAAATTAAGAAAATTAGATATTCTCCTAAATAATTTTCCTCAAATTTAAAAATAATTTTTTACCCATTTAAATATATATATTTTTATTTAAACTTACAGTAACCGCCCTACCAATGTGTTGCTGCTCAACGATAATAACTAAGCCAATTCAATTTATGCATCTCGTTCGCAAGCTCACCTATTTAAAACGTACAATCTAGAGTTCTAAGCCGTTCTAAGCCTCACAGTCTCGTAGCCCTTTAGCCCCAGTTTCTTCGAGCTTATCATAGGACCTAACCCAATGGTTGGATTCACATTTTCGAGCTTCTTTAACCTCGTCTCAACCATTGATGTCATGTGATCTAGATCTTTTAAGCTCGTCTCTATTGTTTGGTTCATCAGAGTTCATGTAGTTTAGTTTTACTCTTGATTCAAGTCACAACTAGGTGAGACGTTACGTCATATATATTCGAACTCTAGTACATATACGACCTTTGAGCGTTAAATATCTTACTATTAGTTATCGACTCTTTAGCAGTTCTTAATTAGTCATAGCTATGACCCCTATGCCAACTATCTCGATATCATGTGACCCCTATCTCTCTAAACAGGAAGATTTTCTAAATAAGCCCACCCCTACATAATAACCCGAAGACACTACAAATCATGTGCATATAAGGCAGGATCTATATGCATCTAAGGAAACTGTAATTTGCATAACTAAAGAACCTATAATATTTTCCTGTTTTAAAGTTTACATGTATACTTTATTCATTCATAAACAAGAACTTCACACACACAAGCAGTCACGTGCTTTATCAAGCCAATACTCAATTCAAGCTCGGGTCTAGCCAAATTAGGGTATTTTTCTTTTTCAAGTTCTCTAAAATCTCTTAATTAGACAATAAAACATATTAATGTAAAAAGAAAAAAAAAAAGGTCAAATCAATCCAACGGTAACGATCGAGTTTTCCACGGTGTTGCAAAATTTCAGTGGGCTTTCCTTGTCTAACTCCATTATCCATCACTTACTAATCAATAACCTGAATAAAAATCTGACTTAACACGAGTTAATTAAACATTTCTCCCTTCTCTCTCGGTTTCAAACACTCATGTTCGTGAAAAACTTAATTTTAATAAAATTAACGAGTTTGTGAAAATCATTATTATTATTTTTTTTTTAAAAGCCTAAGTTTATATAGTCTAATTTAATGAAATTAAAAAATTTCCCACCCAAAAGTATTATGTTTGGTATATTAATAGAAATAGAAAAATAAAAACATTATGGTAAAAAATTATTATAAAGTTTCCAACTCCAAAAAGAATATAAAATGATAATGTTCAACCTCCCTTCATTTTATTTATTTAATTTAAAAATAAATATGGCTCGAATTTGGTGAGATTCCAATATAACTAAATATAAATAATATTGTAAAATCAATTATATATTATTTATTATATTATTACTATTTAAAATATAAACACAACAGAAAATAAGTTTTAAAATGTCGGTATTTATAAATAAACGGTGTGAGCAGCCGCAGAGGATCAGAACCCCTCACACAAAGATTTTGGGTGCGATTAGTTCGAGGTGTGAACCGAGTTAGACTCAACAGTTTAACATTCTCTCTTTCTCTCTCTACAAATTTTTTTTTAGTTTAATTGTTTTCTTTTTTCGTTTAATTGTTATTTTATTTATTTTATTTTATTTTGGGAGAAAGTTTATATAGAATTGCTGATACTCGCCGTCTTCATTGTCGTCGAAGTAGGCGACTCGGTCCTCTGTGGAAACCAACCATCGCCCGCTGGATGTTCTGCTCCGCCGTGTTGTATCTATATTGTGTTGTTGTTGTTGCTCTGATTCTCTGATCGCCATGAGTAAGAAGCGACGGTCTGATGCTGATACGCCTTTCCCCGGTCTTCGCCAGCTTCTCTGTGATGTTTTCTTCCGTCGCCGGCGTTTCTACTATCATGTTTTGCCGCTTCTCTCTGCACTTGCTGGTTGTGTTTTTGTTTGCTTTGTTGCTCTGTTTCTTCTTGTTGCTTCACCTGTTGTTCATCGTGATCATCTTCACTTGACTCTCTTTCATGGCGGAAGCTCGGTACGGCTGATTCTCTGTTCTTGCGCTGTTTTGGTATTTATTACTTATTGTGTGTTTGTTTTTGTTATATTGTTTGTGTGTTTTTCTTATATTTTCAGATAGACCAAGGCATTGAGGATGAATCGAGTTCTAATTTGGAAATGAAATCAATCGTCGGCGTTTCGGTATGGAATTTGTGTATTGTTCGATCGGAGAATTTGAGCTCTGGTTTTTGTGTCTTTGAGACTTCGAATATTTGATTCTTGAATTTTCTTATGCCGTGTTTGTTCAACAATGTGTAGGGAAGTGGAGGCAGATTCGAACGTGATGTATGGGTCACGGATCAATCGAGTTTCTTCTATGGCTGTAGCAATGCTAGCAAGAAGTTCACACGTACAGTACCGAATTCTACGGTTCAATTTTGATACTTATTACCTAGAATTTAGGCTTTTCTTTGTTCAATTTGAATATAGATTGTATAATTCCTTTTCAATTTTTCAATGAGGGTTAACTTTGTTCCACGCGGCTCTTCCTTAAATCTGACCTGTGTTCTATTAAGTGCAGCGGCCGCTGAGAAAACCGATCCCGACAGATACTTGTTGATTACTACGAGTGGAGGCCTTAATCAGCAAAGAACAGGGGTAAGCCCTGTCTACTACTCAATCCCGGATTTATTGCAGTTATCGTTTTGGAGATAGTAAAGTTGTCAATTAGTTGTAAATTTTAAAAATTAGTTCATTGATGGAATTGATCATCCTATTCAAACATTCTTTCTCATTTCCCAATAAATTCTTGATTTATCACCAAAAAAAATATAAAAACAAAAAATTATCTGGCTTTGGTTGACTGGAATAAGTTGCCAAATATATATATTTCTATTGGAATCGTATATGTGCTGGCTCAGTTTTTTTCTTTTGGTATTTAATCAACATGGTGAAGGATCCAACTGGACAGTGCCTTACCTTGTTTGCGCCTTAATTATACCTGGATATTTGAATGATCAAATGAAATTCCACGCACAGTTAATAATGAGTTGCAGCTTTTAAATTGATGTCAGTTGTCTTCTATATGAATCTTGAAACATGCGTTTTTTTTCCCTTTCTGCGAATTGTAAACAACGCATTTGGGTGTTCTTGTCTCGTTCTTTCCATAATATGTTAGAAATATGGATGCAGATAACAGATGCTGTTGTTGCAGCTTACATTTTGAATGCCACTCTAGTTGTTCCCAAGCTGGATCAAAATTCATTTTGGAAGGATAGCAGGTTTCTAATAAATACTTTTCAATCACATCCTTTTTTAGGCTACTTTTCTAATTGTCATTAATGTGGTGGAAGTAAACTTGGTAAATGTATGGTATTTATATCCAAATGGTGTTTGATGCAGCAATTTTGCAGAAATTTTTGATGAGGACTGGTTTATTAAATTTCTCTCGAATGATGTTCAAATCATCAAAGATTTACCAATGGAAGTTGGGAAAACTTTGACTCCTCATAGGATGCGTGTTCCAAGGAAGTGTGATCCAGAATGCTATGAAAAACATGTTCTTCCTGTTCTTAAAAAGAAGCATGTAAGTATGCAGTTCAGTGCAAACTTATGCACGTTTTAGCAAGTCATTAATACTGCCACTATACTCTGTGTTATCATTGGTGCTAGTCAAGGCCTTATCTGATTTGGTATGAAAATTGCCCGTTTGAGGAGTAAATTATTTGCAACTCCAATAAATATCTCAATGCTCATTACTGCGTGGTGTGTCTGTATAATTTAATCGGGCTTTAACACTAGTCCATTCCTAGGTGTTCTTCATGATCACTTGTCATGTGTTGTGTGTATGTGCCATGTGTAGGTCGATTGTCCTTTTTAGTTTTGTGAAAGCATTTTGATAATTGAAAATCTGGGTCAAGTTAGTAAGGTTTTCTTTTTCTCTCTGCAGGCTGTTCGGCTTGGAAAATTTGATTATAGGCTTTCAAATAGGTTGACAACTGACTTACAGAAGTTAAGATGCAGAGTTAACTATCATGCTTTAAAGTTTACTGAAGAGATCAATGAAATGGGCCAAACATTGGTTGAGAGGATGAAGATCAAAAGCAAACATTTTATTGCCCTACATTTGAGGTGATTCAATCAAGATTCTTTACTGCTTCTAACAAGATCATAGCTGAATGCAGATTTAAGTAATGCGATTAGATGAATTTCAATTTACTTATTTAGTTTGTACTATTGTGATGGCATAACTTGATATAGCTGAACTCAAATTTAAGCTGTAGAACCTAAAAGATCTTTGGAACATTTTTGTGAATGGAAATTTGGAGGTTTGTTGATGTAAGTTTGGGTATCATCATATAGGTTTGAGCCTGACATGCTTGCATTTTCTGGCTGTTATTATGGTGGGGGACAAGATGAGAAGGAAGAACTTGGAAAAATTCGAAAGAGATGGAAAAGCTTACATGTAAGGTTTCATGTTGTTCAAGAAAACCATCATCTAATTAACGCAGTAGACACTAATCTGGATTGGAATTTGGAATATGAAATCTCATCCTCTGTGATTTGCAGGCAAGCAATCCCGATAAGGAACGAAGGCAGGGAAGATGCCCTCTTACTCCCGAAGAAGTCGGTCTGATGCTTCGAGGGCTCGGCTTCGGAAGTGATGTGCACCTTTATGTGGCATCTGGTGAAGTATATGGAGGAGAAGAAACTCTAGCTCCACTGAAAGCAATGTTTCCAAATTACCATACCAAGGAGACTCTAGCCAGCCCTGAAGAGTTGACACCCTTTTTGCCATTTTCGTCTCGTATGGCTGCGATCGACTTCATTGTTTGTGACGAAAGCAATGTTTTTGTCTCGAACAACAATGGGAACATGGCTAAGATTTTAGCAGGACGAAGGTACATTACGTTCACGTTGCACCCTTATCAATCCTCTTACTAACATCTTTAAGCAACTAATCCAATTCCGAACTTGGTCGAAACCTTTCTTGCTTTACACAATGAGTAATCAAGTACATTTCCTTGTTGTAGGAGATACTTCGGTCATAAACCAACCATCCGTCCGAACGCTAAAAAGCTGAACCGACTATTCATGGACCGAAACAACATGACATGGGAACAATTTTCATCCAAGGTCCAATCTTATCAAGTTGGCTTCATGGGAGAGCCAAATGAGGTGAAGCCAGGGAGAGGTGAGTTCCATGAAAACCCATCAGCCTGCATTTGCGGGAATTATGACTCAAATGTCATGAGTGACCCATCTCATGTCAACCAAATTCATCACAACCACACCGAAGACGTCAATGAAAACAACCATGGCTACAACGAAACGAGCAATTCGACAAAAGAACAAACCGCGACAGAAGACGACCAAGAATGGACTGGATTGGAATATTTAGACATCGGAAACGACTTGGGAGAGAGAAGATTGCACACTCTCATTAACTCTGATCTTGGCGTTCGACCCAAACCCGAACAACCAGAATTGGAAGAGTTATTTTCAGACTAAAAAGACGGTTAGTTCAATCCAACTTTGACCAATTTTTTTAGGGGGTAATCTTTTGTTACCCTTACAAATGCATAAAACACTTTTCACAGTAATAGGGATAGAAAGGTTTGCATTCTGTACATAAACTGTTGTGGGGGAAACAATACAGCTTGACATAGGCTTTGAAATTTGTACATGAAGGAACCATTTAGATAGAGAATTACAAGGCAAAAAAGGTTCTAGTTTTGCTTTTTTTTTTTTTTTTTTTTT